GTTAATTCTAACACAGCCACAGAGTACTGTCAATATGCCAAGAAGGAAAACAGGTTAAAATTAATGGTTTGAGTCCCTCTTTCCAGCATCAATTTCCCATCTCTATATACCATACTTGCAGTGTCACCAGTGGAGACAGCCCCAATGGAAACATTCTCCACACCCAGCTCCCCACAGATTCTCTAGTAACCTGATCCTGCAAATACACAGGCAGAGGATGCAGAAGAGAAAAATCTGTTTACCTTAAAAAGAGATCTTCCACTTTCATTAACATCTCATACAGTGTTCACCATTTTATCTGTGCTCACATAACCTTATTCCTAGGCTCTAAAATGAATCATTTCAGGGTCAAATGGTTATAGCCCTTCCACCAATGGCAGGGAAATTCATATTTCATATACAAATGGTACTGGTGCAAAGGATACCCTAAGAAAGAAGTGAATCTTTCCCAACTGATCTCTGCTCACTTCACCCACCACCGCTTACCCCCAAAAAATGGGGAAGAAAAAAATTCTTAAAGGTGGATGCTTTATATGTAGGCGAATATAGAACATGAGATTTTGCAAAGATGAAAATGTTTTTAGCAGCACACGAAGGCCAATGATTAGCTCATAACCCATCTAAAGGCATGTGTAAGGTTTACCTGAAAATGGATGGTTTATTTCTGCTTTTCCATTGGTGAATATACCAGGGTACTAAGCTTAAATTTAAAAGGTGCCGGATAAGCTGGGACAAAGTGAGAGAGTAGCATTGACATATATACACTACTAAATATAAAATAGACAGCTAGTGGGAAGCAGCCGCAAGGCACAGGGAGATCAGTTCGGTGCTTTGTGACCACCTAGAGGGGTGGGATAAGGAGGGTGGGAGGGAGACGCAAGACGGAGGGGATATGGGGATATATACATACATATAGCTGATTCACTTTGTTATATAGCAGAAACTAACACAACATTGTAAAGCAATTATACTCCAATAAAGATGTTAAAAAAAAAAAGGTAGATTGAAAAAGCCTAGGTGGTAAAGCAGTTTTAAGAGGCTTAAAGATATCTAATTTATCTTAAAAATGTTTGTAATATCGATTCTAACAGATTCTCTCTTTAAGAAATTATTCCTCATAGAATATAAGTTTTGCACTATAGTCAATAATTTCCGTTCTTATTATAAAACATTCACATATGAGTAGTACAGCTGTACACTTAGTAGGCTTCTCGTACATTTTAATATAGCAGCCAATTCAAACTCTCATTTATTAACATTATTAAAATGATTTTAAATTAAGTATAGGTAACTAGTTTAAATAAAGGGCATACACGGTGGTTACATTTTATTTTCAATTATGTAGTAATTCTGGAACTTAGGCACTGTGTCTGTACAATTTGTATTTTCTTATTATAATAGATTTCATCCCACTTGGCATAAAGAGAAAATAGAATTTTCTATAGACTGGAGTAACTCCCTAGAAGCCTGTTTTGGATTCATAGAATATTTGGTTTAGGCAGAAAGAAAATACACACAACATGTTCATTTGAAAATGACTAGTCACACTTGGTATTACTCTAAAGGTAAATATAATCAAGCTATAAAGACATTTCTGGACCTGATTATTTTATTAAAATGTATAATCTTCTGTGATGTGTTTCTTCTGGTTCATACTATTATATAATGATTTTAATTAAAAATAAAAATGTTTTTCTTTTATTAAAAAAAAAAGTGCCATGGTAGGAAGAAACACTAGAGTACAGAAGCAAACAAAGCCAGAGAGGTTGGGCTGACCTGGTAACTTGTTACCCATCAAATGCCAGTTAGGAATTTCCAGAGAGTAGAGAATCTGTGCTACTTTCAAGGCTTCAATTCTAAACCTAAACTGTGTTGAATTTCAGAATCTCCTTCTAGATGGAAAAGAAAAAACAACAACAAAGGTTTCCAGACTTCGGGTGTTTAAAGGGCCTTCACACAGTAAATCAACCTACTGCTGTCTTGTTTTCTCCACAGCCAGACTGAAATAATACAGTGTCAGCAGAGGTGTGAATTACCTCCATTCACCTTAATGGAGTGTTAACTTCAAAGGCTTGTTTTAACCATTTAAATGCTAAGCTCATGAGTGAACATTCTGTTAAAAAAAAAAGTACAATTTAAACATTCACCCTCAACATATGAAAGTAATTTTTATTCTCAGCACTTCATCTTCTAATTTAGCAAACAAGTTTCCAAGTGTTAGAAAAATATAGATTTTGTGCTTTACTTAGTTTTATTTTAAATAGTTATTACCTAATAAATTATGAACATTAAGCCCACAATAAGAAGGCCTGTATTTCCCAGGAAAAATGCTGAGGAGTACTTGAACAAGGTTTTATTTGAAATCCTGATGAAAGGGGCACTGCTTTTACCAGTCATCTTACTAGCTTCCTCCAAACTCATAGGGAAAGTTATGACTCCAAACAGGCAACTAGATAAGGCAGAATATTAAAGTAAAATAAAAATAAACACCTCTCCAAATAATTTCTTTTGATATTAACTAAGTTTCATGCAGCATTCAATAGGTTTGCCAAACCTCCCATGATCCCATCCCACGAGCAGGTGACAAATGTATTAATTGATGCCCACCTGTCATCACACTTAACATCTGCCCCAGGAGGCATCCTTGCATCTGTTGCAGATTTAGGGCTATTTTGGTATTAGGAGTTAGATTTATTTTAGCAGCTGAACACCTATTTGTATTTGGATCTATAATTTACCATAGAAATGTGGGAAAGCACTAAAAAGAATGCACATGGGGCCAGTTCTCCTGTGAGTGAAGGCTAGAAAACTATTCTAAACATATTAGTTGTGCAAGATGGAAGATGAAGAAATTCCATGTCCTTGTCTGAAAGCAACTTCATTTTACACGTCTAGATAAAAGGATGGGGAAAAAAAGGGGATAAACATCTAATTTATTAAGAGCGCCTATTTTGGTCTGTACCTAATTTATGCAAGGTCATTTAATCCTCTCAACACAACCCTGTATAATTGGTATTAACTCCATTTAATACCTATGTGAAAGTAGAGGTTTAGAGAGGTTAAGTGGTTTGCCTAAATTCACTGAGATTTTCATCTAAGTCTTTCTAACCCCCAAACCTGGACCTTTTCCATTACATTATGCTGATCTCAAGTTGCCAAAGAGGAAACTTAACTCAGTTGTCAATTTTTCAGCCCATTTCCTAAGTGGGAAGCAAGGGGGCACCAGCAAAAGTGTGCATTTCCATACATGCAAATTGGCACTTTGCATGTAATTCTCTACTTTACAATGTGTGCAGGGGTAGGATTACATTTTTACTGATACACCCTGGCTTTGGTAGGCTGCTAACAAGGTGCCCTTTACAAGAATACTCCCTGGGGCAGTAGGGGAGGGAGGCACCTAGTTACTGGTTTCCAACCAGGAATAAGCCACATCAATGCGAAGACTGGAACGATCTATAACCTCCAAACAAAGTATGATATAAATCATGAATATCTGTCTCTGTTCGCCAAGTAGAAAGGCACATGTTTTAGTGACAAATGAGAAAGCTCAGAGAACTTTCAAATCCACAGCCAGTCATCACAGCTCTATCTCATACTGCACGACAGAGGAAAATCACAAAAGTTCTTAGGATTTGGAGTCAGGGCAAAATACCAAGTGAAATAATCCAACAGTTTTGTTATTGGTGACTGATGTTGACATTAACCTACAAACTAAAATTCAATTTTGTATATAAACAATATACTGATTTCTTTAAAAACAAAAAATTGTCTCAATATATTTAATAACATTAAAAACTTCTCTGTGAAAGATGTTGTTAAGAGAATGAAAAGGCAACTCAGACTGGGAGAAAATCTTTGTGAAACACATATCTGATAAAGGATTGGTGTCTAAAATATACAAAGAATGCTTAAAACTCAACAATGTAAAAACAGCCCAATTTTAAAAATCTGAACCTCACCAAAGAAAACATACAGATGGCAAATAAACATGTGAAAAGATGCTCAACATCATATGTCAACAGGGAAATGCAAATTAAAACAACAACGAGATACAACTGCACACCCATTAGAATGGTGGAAATCCCAAACACTGACAACACCCAATGTCGGCAAGGATGTGGAACAACATGAACTCTCACACATTGCTGGCAGGACTGCAAAATGTTACAGCCACTTTGGAAGGCAGTTTCTTATAAGACTAAATATTCTACCATACCATGCAGCAATTGCTAAAAAATAGTCTTTGGTATTAACCCAAATAAGCTGAAAATTTCTGTCCACACAAAAGTCTGCATACAAATGTTCGTAGCAGCTTTATTCACAAATGCCAAAATTTGGAAGCAAACAAGAGGTCATTCAACAGGTGAATGGAAAAACAAACTGTGCTACATCCATACAATGGAATACTGTCAGTGAAACAAACTGTGGTACATCCATACAATGGAATATTGTCAGTGATTAAAAAAAAAGAGCTATCAAGCTATGAAAAGACACAGAGGAAACTTAAACGCACATTGCTAAGTGAAAGAAGCCAGCCCGAAAGGTTAGATACTATATGATCCCACCAAATGTCATTGTAGAAAAGGCTCATGGGGAATGCTCATGGTGTTTATGGAGACAGTAAAAAGTTTACCCTACTGTAAACTATGAACTTCAGTTAATAGTAATGTATCAAAGTTGGCTCATCAAGTATAACAAATGTACTTCACTAATGCAAGATGTTAGTAATGTGGGACACTATGGGGGTGCTGGAATGAGGGAATATATGAGAACCCTCTGTACTTTCTGTTCAATTATTTCTGTAAACGTTAAAACTACCCTAAAAAATAAAGTCTGTTAATTAAAAAAAACACCACAAACAAAAGATGCTCAACATATTTAAGAGCATTCTGAGTTTCTTATTTTGATTAAAACTGCTATGTCTACTTTCCCCTACCGACTCCTGTTTTGTTCTGCTTTTCTGTCAATGTTTGCAAAAATGTTAGGCCATATAAAGAGGATTCATCCAAGGTGCCTTCCAGAATAATTCCTTTTTGCATTTGGAGGTAAATTATTCAGCAAAAGACGTGGGAAAATATTTCTTTCACTTATTAATCCAATTAAAAGTAATGAGTGCTAAACTAAAATTACCAACCAAAATACCAAAGATGAGCAAAACGAACGCCTGTGGAAATAAGGAAAAAAGATAAAGAACAATTAGAGCATTATTTTAAACCTTCACGTGCTCCAATAATGTACATTATAGTTCAAAATACATTAACTTTCGTGAGGTAGGTAAAATATTAATTATAAAATGACAAGTTATTTCTTAAAATCAGATTCTTAAAAGAAACAAACAAAAATCAACCTACCCCAAACTTTTTCCATGAGAGAAAATCCTCTCTGCTCATTTTAAGATAAAACAGTCCCGGGAACACAAAAATCAAACACGTTGATGTACTGGAACCTTAAAGTGGGGAGGAAAAGAAAAAAATATTGCCAGATTCAGATGTGAGACTGGATGACAATTTAATCTATTTTAGAAAATGGAAGTTTTGAAATAGAAAACTTACCAACTACACCAAGTACGTTCCTAATGTCAGGAACATATATTGCAAGTAAAACAATGATAATATTGAAAGCTATAGTGATCAAAGAATGGCGAATCCATGAGAATGGAAAATTGGAGAAAAACATCATCATTAAAGCTTTCCTTGCCTGTATAACAGAAAAATATTTAAGCAAAGAGGAGGTAACAAAGCCAAATTACTTGCTTAGGGAAACACATGGTACAGTTACCATGATATTCTTGCCCTCTAAACCATTTAGATTCCAAAAATATGGCATAAACTATTACTGTAAGGTATTTATTGCACATAAACTGAGAAATATACCTATCTGTGTGAGCTTCATAAAAACTGTTTTGGTTTTATTCTTGAAAAAACTTTCACATGCAATTTCTTTCAGTTGTATAATTTTCAAAATTACCAACAATAACACTTGGTGAAGAAGTCACAGAGTATCATTTCCATGAAATTCAACAGATAAAAGAACAAATGGTTTAAAACAGAAAAAGAAGTCATGCCATGATAAAGAAATACCATTTGCTGTTTTATGTTATATTATCTGTTTCACAGCATGTAAATGTGAAAACTGGTTCATGATGCTCTCCACTGCTAAGGCGGGCAACAGGCAGTCACGTCCCCACAAGCATTTACCCAGCCCCCGCTACACTCCTGGCGCTGCAGTCCCTGCAGGGAGGAGGCCCCAGTCTTAAGGAGCTCCCCGTTCAGGGGCTCAAGTCATCCACTAGAAGCATCTGTACCCAAAGCCTATGATTCCATTCTCCCAGAAATTCTCAAGAGTCTTACATATGGCAACTAAATGCTGAGTGATGATCTGCTGTGCCCCTTAAACTATAACTCTAGAGCAAATAAAATCTGTGACTAAGATTAGACTAGAACATCTATGTGAAAATAAATTTCCAATAAACTAGAAGGAGCTTATTTTTGCTGACTTGACTTTTTCCTCTTCACGCACATTCTTTTGAAAACAGAATACAGAATTAAAGGGGGAAAAAAACCCAAAAAAACTTTAGAAGAACTATAGTCTCTAAATTGGAAACAATGCTGTGGGAGAGCGTAAATCTAAACTAAATCTGAAAAAGCACAAATTAGTTTAGCGGTTCACTGTTATTTTTGTGCTTTCATGGGGCCATAGGCAAGTATGAGGTCTTTGATCAATTACTGGACAAATGAATAAGATATACAAGACTAGATGTGATTCAAACATTCTAGTCTGTAAAGAATTAGTGTTGCCATATTAGGGAGCTGCTACACCAAGCAACAAAACCTTTAAGAGTACTTACAGGGAAGTGGATTAGAGGGACTGTCAAAAGCACAGCAAATAGTATGCATAACTTCACAGTCATGACGACAACATCATGTGGCAAGTATTTACTATAACCTTGTAGTAATTCTGACGCCACACTGTCTGCAAATTTAAAAAACAATAATAAGGATCACATTATAAACTACTAAGATGTTAATAACAGTAACATTATTTTCCTTTGCACAAACGGATCTTAACAGATTTTGGATTCCCAGTACCAAATCCATCTCTGGCCTTTTTCCTATCCTATGAAACACAGGGACACTAAGTAAATATCTTCTGGAAACCTACAGTGTTTTCTTTTAATGAAACTAGAAATTGGCCCAGGCAGAATCTCTAAAATTATGACAATGAATATACATTTAAGAAAATCTCTTTAGAACTTTTCCATAATCTGAAGGTTTTGAACAACACTTATTTTATAAAGTGCTTTCATGTATACTACTGAATTTGGTCCTTATGATAACAATATAAGATAGGTAGCTAGGCTAAAAATTAACTGACTTGCCCAAGTTCATACAGTACAAAGGGGCAGAGCTGGCACAGCTGTACTCCCAAATTGTTTTGATGCCAAAGCCTTTCCTTAATATTGCAATATTTTCTAGGATCTTATAGTTTTGTGCATGTTACCTGCTTCATCAACATTTCATCTATAGATTCATCTTTCATAAAAGAAAATGCAGTGTTAGGGTAATGGCTTCCTTAGCAAGCCAGTGCGGTAGTCAGTGACAGAATCTGAACAAGCTGACCGTGCTTTGCTCCCTGGTGTTCCATCCTCACGTCTTCCTCACTCCAAGCCAGAGGAGGGCTATTAAGAGTGAGAGTTCTCAAGAACACTCCATATCACTGCCTCGTAGGGAAA